TCACTATAAATATTTTATACTTTTGTCAGTCATTATCTCATCCCTAGTGGTCTTTGTTAAGTAAATAAAGTTCCAATTCCTATTTAATGGTTAGACATAGGTGGTTTCTGTCACTGATTACAGCCCTAAACACATGACAGTTAAGGCACATATATCACAAATTTGTTCAGGGATTCCCACTTTGTTCTTTGGAGCTAGGATGTTATCTATAGTGGAGCTACAAATCAAAGAAGCTATACAACCTTCACTTTAAACAGCAGAAGCAATGGGCCAAGGCAAGTTTTTAAAGGGATACACTACCTAGTTTGCTTCCACAACTACTTTAATAGCTAATCTATTAAACTTTAAAACTTTTTCCTATCAACAGAGTTATAAAGTGGGAGAGGTATGAGCGGTGAGTGATCGGCTCAGGCTAGGAGTACTTGAGAAGGAGAACAGGTTTAACAGAGGGAGGGTCAAGAGCATAGGTAGAAAAGTCTTGTATATAGGGGATTTCTGACCATTTGCCATTGCGTTGACAGAACTTGTGTAAATCACACAGTATGTTAAAATTGAAAGTGCCATTTTTGGGCCATGGAAACCCATTATCTAATTTATACTGAGGCCAAACCTGATTACAATAGAAAACAAGTCTTTTTGGCTTAAAGTCTGGTCCCAACAATCTGAGGAGTTTGAGTTGTGCCAGAAGGCAGCCCGGAGGCATTGAGGGGTGGGGTTTGAATTGTTGGGGCCCCTGGTTAGAGCGGGTGAGGAGGAGGCAGCTCCCGAGGAGAAAGACAAAGGGGGGAAGCGTCCTTGTCTCCTTCGACAATCTCTGAGTCTCCCAGAGGGAGAGAACAAGAGGAGGCAGGCCAATGGGACATCTCCCAGGGGCATGATCCTGGGCCCAGAGGCCATGGGGGTTTCTCTGACCAAGCACTTGGATTTCTGAGAAGTCCCCAGAGGGAGAGAGAATGAGACAGAGAACCCAATGAGAGGGAGGCTGAACTCCCTACTCACCCAGACATTGGTGACCAGTGTGAATGTGTAGCGTCAGCAATGGCAAAGGTAGAAAGCCCTGGAGGGTCCTGGCAATGGCAGATATGGTCCAATGAAGATGGCCAAAAGGTCAATCAACTCCATCCTGTGGGGGATCATCCATTAATGGACCACCTACCGTCCAAGTCATGGCACCAGAAATGTCAGGTAAAAGGGCCAAAAACCAAGACCAGACCAGGCCACAACAAGCCTTTATTAGGGGAATAGCTCTGCCAGGCTGTCTCTGAACAAAGGAGAGAAAAAGGCAATATGGCTGGGGCGGGGAGAGTCTTTTATAGAGACTGGGGTCGGGTTTGTAGGGGCTGAGGTGGGGTTGAGTGAGGTAGTGACTAGGGAATGGATGAGCTGGTGATGTCACTAGGTGATAGGAGGTGAGCAAGTATCAGGTTACTTTCTAGGTGGGAACAGGGGCATGCTGGGAAGAAGGGTTTATTCTTTGATGGGAGCAACCATCTTGGCATGATGTCACACAGGGGAGGGGGCAAGGCACAATAGGAAGGGGGCAGCTACTATACATAATAGCTGCTGAGGTAGTGGGAGACCTATCAGTTCCAGGTTTCTCTTTTGTAACACAACTCACTAAGCCTGCGGTTATCACTTGGGTCCATTATTTATTCCCCATAGCATTTGGGGGGCAGGAGAAGCTGACACAAATATGCTAATTACTCATGCTGTTTGCTGTGCTATGAGTAGAAAATATCCCTGCTGTGAACCAGGATTCTCATGACTTCAATCAATCTATAGCAGGTTAACTTATTAGCTTGCAAAAAAAGATGAAATCTCTAATGTTTTAAAGTTCATGAAAATATAATACCAAAGTGTTGTTAGCAAGGAGAAATATTTTCCTTATGCATGGACCTCCAGATATTTTATAGCTAACTCAGGATGAATTCTAAATTCTTTTTTTGACCATGGGTAGAAAAATGAGAGAACTTGTAAGAAACTACACCTAAGCTTTGGCAAAGTTTAATTGGAAAACTTTATCAGCTAAACAGGAGAATATCTATGCTCTCATCCCATTGTTCTTATGTTAATGCAAAAATGCTGAGTTACTAATTGAAAGAACTTGAATGGAATCACAAATCCTTGGCAATTCATCTTTTTCCTGGGGCAGGGATAGGCATGCTGATGATCTGATCTGGAATAGAAATAATTTAGCAACAGAGGAGGGTAGATTTTGCCAACTGACCTTTTCTTCACCTTCTTTTTCTCTTTCCTAATTGAACTTTTTTTTTAAATCATTCAAATTTTCCATTACTGCACCCCAGGAGATGAAGTATCTTCCTTAATAACTTCCACCAGGATTTGAACAATTACACAGACTGCATTCTTTGCTATGGCTTTTTTTCTCCTGAAACATAGTTTCTACATTTTCTAGGGCATTAAACATTTCACTAGGGAATCTGGGCTTTGTTGTATTAGTAACAATTTTTCCTCACTGAATGTTCCATGTGAAGATGGTCTGGCACTGATATAGGGCACTAAGTAATCCAAAAAATGATAGGGCAAGTAATCCAAATAAGGAAAATTTATCCAAACAAAGGAAGTGTTGTAACTCCCAACCTGCTAGATATCCAAAACTCGAGTTCCTGTTCTCTAAAATCGAAGAATGAATTCTAGGAACAACAGAGGCTAAGAGTAGGAAGAATTTATTGAAAGTTTCTGTCTAATAGAGACAGAAGAGGGACTAGAAAGTGGATTGCCCCTCCACCCTGCTTCTCAGAGGTGATTTATGGGACAAAGTCAAGAGGTGAGGTGGGTACAAAGTGGGACAAAACTATAAGACCCAACAGAAAAATCAAAAGATGGGCATGAGGTGGGGCAAAACCATAGTCAACCAATAAGATTACAAGTACAGTCACCCAGGTGATATTGATTAAATGGGGATCAAATGGGAAAACAAGTCACATACAAGGAATTTCCAGAAGGGAAATGTGCTAGGGAGATTGATGCCTATTTAGAATATCAATCACTGCTATTCATCTCTAGAGGAAGTAGGTAAATGCAGTACCTCTTCTCTTTTTATAATGCTAACTAGTGAATGTGCCTCAATTGTTTATGCTGAGGGCCCGGCTTTGTCTAACTGCCTTATAATAATTTCGAACTAACTTAGCTATCTCCAATAGCATCATCATAATCTGGCCACTTTGCTCTGTGAGGATAGTCTCATGTTAGCTTTATGATCTATCATAATAAGTACTTTTATCTGTTGGCATATTAGCACATTAGACAGCATTTTCCAGACAAAATGTTAAAAATAAGGTGTTGAGGCTTGTTTTCTTCTATCACCTATTTTATAACTTGTTATTCTGTGTAAAGATCGTTTTCTTTATGATGGTGCTTAATTAGTTCAACATGTTTTCATTTCTTCTTAAATTTTTATCAGTTCAGTTCAATCAGTTGCTCAAAAAAGACATAAATATCTAAATTTATATAGCATTTTCCTAAACTTTCTTCCCTCTCCATGTTTATCCTTGTTCATCTTTTATAAAACTTATATTTTAGCCCCTATTTTACTTAATTTATCCACATATAAATATCTCCCTTTATAAAATTATAAGGCCAGTATATTAGTTTGGTAAGGCTGTCATGCTAGTGATAGGTCTCCCACTACCCCAGCAGCTATTATGTATAGTAGCTGCCCCCTTCCTGTCTTGCCTTGCCCCCTCCCCTGTGTGACATCATGCCAAGATGGTCGCTCCCTCCAAAGAATAAACCCTTCTTCCCAGCATGCCCCTGTTCCCACCTAGAAAGTAACCTGATACTCGCTCACCTCCTACCACCTAGTGACATCACCAGCTCATCCATTCCCTAGTCACTACCTCACTCAACCCCACCTCAGCCCCTACAAACCCCACCCCAGTCTCTATAAAAGACTCT